CCGATTCACAGACTTTTTTCGGCCCATGCCTCTTCGACAGAAGGCAGATGAACTTTTCACTTCTGTCGGACCGGCTGTTGTACACACAGGCCGAACGTCAGCCGGGTCAACAGAAACTGAACGATGTTCTGCCCATGTGTACAACAGCAGGTTTGACAGAAGTCATTGTTTGTTCGGCTTCTGTCGAAAGAGGCGTGGCAGAAAAGGTCTGCCAATTGGCTTCTTATACCGTCCAATAAATCAAACCAGTAGATACAGCCCAAGTCTTCCGAAAGAGGCGTGACAGAAAAGGTCTGCCAATTGGATTCTACCGCCCAATAAATCAAACCAGTAGATACAGCCCAAGTCTTCCAAAAGAGGCGTGGCAGAAAAGGTCTGCCCATTGGCTTCTTATACCGCCCAAAAAATCAAACCAGTAGATACAGCCCAAGTCTTCCGAAAGAGGCGTGACAGAAAAGGTCTGCCAATTGGCTTCTTATACCGCCCAATAAATCAAACCAGTAGATACAGCCCAAGTCTTCCGAAAGAGGCGTGACAGAAAAGGACTGCCAATTGGCTTCTTATACCGCCCAATAAATCAAACCAGTAGATACAGCCCAAGTCTTCCGAAAGAGGCGTGGCAGAAAAGGTCTGCCCATTGGCTTCTTATACCACCCAAAAAATCAAACCAGTAGATACAGCCGAAGTCTTTCGAAAGAGGCGTGACAGAAAAGGGCAATTAGTAGCACATAAAAACATCACATTTTCTGAGGACTGAGCAGTTTTTAAAAAAATGGCTGAACTATTCAACATGTAAATAAATCAAACCAGTAGATACAGTCCAAGTGTTCCGAAAGAGGCGTGACAGAAAAGGTCTGCCAATTGGCCTCCGATACCGTCCAATATTCGGCCCATATGTACGGCTTAAGGTTTGGTTCACACTACTTTGGTATGACTTTCAGTGAAATTATGCATTCTCTATGACCCCATTGAAAATAATGTGATTTCCCTTATCATGTGATTCTGTGCAACTCAAGTCAAAACAGAAATTACACCAGTGTGAACCAGCACTAAAGAGTATATGCAAAAGAAGATCTGGGAATACAGAACATATCATCTTTAATATATCACTCTAAAAGCAATTAGTAGCACATAAATACAACATTTTCTAAGGAGTCAGCAGTTTTAAAAAAAATGGCTGAAATATGCAACATGTAAATAAATCAAACCAGTGGATACAGCCCAAGTCTTCCAGCCCTTAGGATCCCTAGACAGAGGTAAGTAAACTACAATTGTGTGAACAAAGTCACTTGTTTCAAAAAATCCCTGCATGTGCAACACAGCATAGGGCGCTTCTAGAAATCCTGACAATAACCTCCTTGACCCACTACAGTCCAGCTTCCGTCCCCTACACACCACTGAAACTGCCCTCCTCAAAATCACTAACGACCTACTAAACGCCAAAGCCAAGGGCAACTACTCTGTCCTCCTTCTCCTGGACCTTTCCGCGGCCTTCGACACAGTTGACCACCCCCTCCTCCTTAATAAACTACTCTCCCTTGGCATCAGAGATACCGCTCTCTCCTGGTTCTCATCTTACCTATCCCGACGCTCCTTCAGCGTCACCTACAACGGTGCCACCTCCCCCTCCCTCCCCCTCTCTGTTGGGGTCACCCAAGGCTCTGTGCTTGGACCCCTTCTCTTCTCCATCTACTCCTCCTCCCTGGGCAAACTCATACACTCCCACGGCTTCAACTATCACCTCTACGCTGATGACACTCAAATTTACCTCTCCACCCCTCTCCTCACCCCCACTATCTCCGTCCGCATCACTCACCTCCTAAACGACATCTCAGACTGGATGTCGCTACATTTCCTCAAGCTTAACCTCTCCAAAACCGAGCTCCTCGTCTTTCCCCCTGCCCCCCCCCCCATCCTATCCATCATCACCAACAACACCACTATCATTCCCGCCTCGCAAGCCAAAGTCCTTGGCGTCATTCTTGACTCGAACCTCTCCTTCCAACCTCATGTCAAATCACTTACAAACACATGCAGGCTCCGCAACATTGCCAAGATACATACCTTCCTTACTCCAGACACCACTAAACTACTCGTACACTCCCTGATTATCTCATGCCTTGACTATTGCAACTCCCTCCTCACCGGCCTACCCCAGTGCAAGCTCTCCCCGCTTCAGACCATCCTGAACTCAGCGGCTAGACTCATCCACCTCACCAACCGCTCCACCTCTGCCACCCCCCTCTGCCTCTCCCTCCACTGGCTCCCGATTGCCCAACGCATCAAATTTAAACTTCTAACCCTGACCTACAAAGCCGTTCACAACACTGCCCCTGACTACCTCACCAACCTGATCCCCAAGTACCGCCCTACCCGTACCCTTCGCTCCTCACAGGACCTCCTTCTATCCTGCTCCCTGGTCTCCTCCTCTCATGCACGACTGCAAGACTTCTCCAGGTCTTCCCCCATCCTCTGGGACTCACTGCCCCAATCCATCATACTATCGCCTTCCCTCCTCACATTCAGGCGCTCCCTCAAAACCCATCTCTTCAGGGAAGCCTACCCCACCCTCACCTAACGGCCATTCTCTCTCATTCCTCCCACCACTTCATTCCCCTCAGCCACTTCCTACTGTACCACTACCCCCTCCCTCCTAGATTGTAAGCTTGAAAGAGTAGGGCCCTCTTACCCCTCGTACGTTGTTTGTTATTGTTGTACTGTGCCATGTATTGTCCCCCCTATATTGTACAGCACTGAGCAAACCCTTTCACGCTATATAAACTCGATGTAATAATAATAATATTACGTTCTTATTGCAGATTGAATCGTAATTGCAGTAGACTCCAAAGCCACTATTTCAAAATGAATTCAGACATGCAGAACATCAGTAAGGCCTCATGCACACAGGGCGTAAACAAAACTTCCTTTACAGGTGTTTGGCTTTTTTCAGCCTGTAGAAGCACCTCTATGTTAACCTAGGTGCCCATGTACACATAGGCATTTACAGGCGTATTAGAAGAGGAGTGTTTACAGGAAGAAAAAAAAAAAAAATCACCAATGCATTCAGAAGAGGAGCTTTTCAGCAGAAAAAACACTTGACATGCCTAAACGCATCTAAACATGGCTAAACACTAGAAACATGTAACGCTTAAGCATTTATGCAGTCCAATGGCAAGAATAAACTAACTGCTTCATCTCCGCCCCATAACAGAAATACTGCTACTGGGTGGCAGCTGTGTGCAAAATCATGTATACTGTATATATGTGTTCTTTTGCATGTCTGGGTAGGGGGCATGTGCGTGCCCTACCTGTGCCGCCATTTGCAGCCGCAGCTGTCAATCACCGTGTTTCGTCCGGTGATTACTCGCCGGTGCCCAGTGATTGCCGAGGATCTCCGACAAGGGGGGGGCTCGGGAAAGAACTGTTATCAAACAAAACAGTTCTCCTTCCTGTCAGCGCCGGCACTTTGCTTTGCATGGCTGTGCACAGCACAGCTATGCAAACCAGTGTGCCTACAGTGAAGCACAAACACAGAACATCATGTAAAACAGCACACAGTTAACCCTTTGATCTCCCCAGATGTTAACCCCTTCCTTCCCAGTGCCATTAGCACAGTGTCAGTGCTTTTTATTAGCACTGATCACTGTATTGGTGTCACTGGGGATGTCAGTGACACCAAGTCAGTTCCCCCCAGTGTCAAAATGCCCGCCACTGTCCTGCAGTCCTGCAAAAAGTCGCTGATCGCCGCCATTACTAGTAAAAATTAAGAAAAAAAAAAGCCCAGTATATATACCACCATTTGTAAATAACTGTCACGTAAACCAATTAATTTACACGTATTTGGATTTTTTTTTTTTTAGCAAAGACATGTAGCAGAATACATTTTGGCCTAAATTTATGAGAAAATTTGATTTTTTTTAAAAAAAATTTTGACATGTTTAATAGCAAAAAGTAAAAAATATTATTTTTTTGCTCAAAATTGGCATTTGTATTAACGCAGCACCTTAACGCAAAAAATGGCCTGATCAGGAAGGGGGGGCAAATCCTCTGGAGTGCAAATGGTTAATATTCTGGCCAATGGAATCTATTAGTGCTCAAACACTTGACACGCTTAAATGCATCTAAATACACCAGCAAAATATGACTTTGGGTATGTATTTTAAGCAGCTTATTCCTGCCATGAGTAAAAGGCGTTCAGAGCTGAAAATCGAATGCCCTGTGTGCATGAGGTCTAAACCCTTCTGAAAGTATTGAAAACACAGGATACTGCAGTCTTCAATGTCAGACACCTTTTTTTGTGAAGTATATCAATACTGACATAATGCTGCTACTGACCCAGCAAAGTCCACATGACATGGATGGTGAAGTGTCAAATAGCGATAACACCAATCAAATAGAGGAATCAACAAAGCAATAGTCAAGTGTCACTATTTCCAATCTTCCGGTACGTTTATAGACGGGTGATGATATGTCATATACAGATTGTTAGTACTGGAAATGGCCTTGTGCAATAGAAGTTTGACAGCACGCGTTTAAACAGTATGTCCCCAACACTTATGGCATTGCAGTTGGTAAAGTAAAAGTCTAAGGGGGAAAAGTCCACTTTGTTGTTGCAACGCATGCGTGGGTACATGGCATGAGAAGAAATGCTTGCTGGATCCGCAGTGGTAACTGTGGCGGATGATGGAGAGCAGTCCCATCCAGGCTGATGGGATAGGTCTGAGCACCTTACAAGGATGCCACCAACCCTATTAGAACAATCTCCCCTTTTTTAGAACCAGCTTGTGAGGGAAAATGGAACAGCCATTTTATATATCAAACTTTTTAGTTTTCATTAAGTGGATATATATTGAATGTATATTTTGTTATTAGAAGTCTTCTTGTGTAACAGCTGTATTTCTTATGTTAGAATGCTATTCACACCTCCAGCTGGGAAGATTGCTATCTAAAAGAACTAGTGGAAGCAGGGGCGGACTGACCATTTGGAAACTCGGCACTACCCGAGGGCCCGAGGTCAGTAGGGGGGGCACCATGAGATGCCCCTGGTACCTTTTTCATAGGCTTTTTTGAGTTTGAGCAAGGACACAGGGGCCCCATGATCCCCTATTGCCCGGGGGCCCCATGAGTTGTCAGTCCACCCGTGAGTGGAAGTAACATGCTTGTGTGAATCTCCATCAGAAACCAGAATGTAACTTCAAAGCAGTCAGATAGCTAGATTCCCACCCATTTTAGGACATATAAATTGTATTAGCTTTCCAAGGCAGTTTAGAGCATTACTTTGAATCCACACCATGTATTGTTTTGCTCTCTCTCTCTCTATGTAGTTCTAGCTACATGCTTGTATAATAAACATATACTTTTCAATCTGGCTTCAGCAGTCAAAATGTTACTGAAACCCATGAGTTTTGGGTTTCCCAGTCACAGCTGTTACTGGATTACCATGGATATTCAATATTTTACAAATGTTTTTAGAAAAAAAATATTCTACAAAAGTATATCGGAAAATGCAGCCAGCTCTTTTATATATAAACCCTTTATTACATAATATTCATAAAAAAAAAATAAAGTAGTCATATTAGTAGGTAGATACTTTATAAAATCAACCTCAAATAATGATCCTGCATTTTTTAAATATAAGGAACCCTCCTAAACATTTAAAAAAATATATACTGTATAATCGCTTTATCAAAAGGAAGCTTTAAGATGTTTTTTTTCTTGAAGAGTGTTCACTTACTGTATATACAAAATGAAAAGGACTGGTCTTCTTTAAGATAAATCAAAAGTAACAGCTTATTTAAAAAAAAAGCCCTAATATGTTTTGCTTACGCAGCTTCCTCGGAAGATATTAGGGGAGATTTACTAAAACTGGTGCACAGAGAATCTAGTGCAGCTGTGCATAGAAACCAATCAGCTTCTAACTTCAGTTCAATTAAGTAATAATAAGTTGTGATAAAAAAAATAACCACAAATAAAAGCGCAATCCTAAATTAAATCAATAAATTAATTTGCACAAATATATATAACCCACCACCAAATATGTGCAAATTAATACTGCAATAACATAAATAAGGGATCTCAATATAGTCCATTCAAAAAAGTCCATATATCAATGATCCTCAATCAATGAAGTACTGAGATCCTCCTTCATCAAATGTGATATTCAGTGCTCAGAACACCCCATCAAAATGCACACTCACCATGTGCTAGTAATTAACCAGCATATTAGTATATATCCAGCATTCACCAAACAGACTCCAAAAGAAGATCCTCATGTGTTGGTAATCAATCAGCATATCAATATATATCCGGTATTCCACCAAACAAACTCCAAAAGAAGATCCTCTCATATCCAAATTAGCACATGTGGGTAAAGAAAGAACTCGCCATAGTGTAATATTATCCAACAGATTTATTGTAAAAAACCCCCCTTAAAATCACACTCACAATAAGTAAGTAAGAGTAAAGCATTTGTTACATCAGGGTTCAGAGCCCTGTATCCAGCGTCTCACCAGCCTGCCTGCACTCAAGATGGCGGTAGTGCGATCACGTGATCCGGACACGTGCGTCGGCGTGCACGGTGACGTCACCGGCTAGCCACACTCTAACGCGTTTCGTCCAATGACTTCTTCTGAGGGAGTTCAATTAAGCTTTCACAATAAGGCCGGCAGAATGGAAGAAATTTATTAAAACTGATGCACATAAAATCTGGTGCAGCTTTCAGGTTTTAAGCAGCCCATACATAGGTCGATTTTCAAACGATTTTTCATTCGAAAATCGGACTTAAGAATTAATCGTCCGATTTTCGCTCTGTTAGTGGGGCAATGGCACCGGACGATTTTCATGGTTCCTCCTCATTCTGTTTATTGGGCATGCTGGAAAATTAATAAAAAACAACCGATTTTTTAAATCATTGGTGGCACCATCGGATTACAGAACTAACTATGTTTTCGTTTTTCGAATGGCACTTCCCGTATAGCCTGCTTAAAACCTGAAAGCTGATTGGTTTCTATGCACAACTGCACCAAATTTTATGTGCACCAATTTTAATAAATCTCTACCATAGCCTCTGGCTTCCTCCTAATGTCAGCTTAAAAGTACCGCTGCTCAAGGTGTTTTAACAGAGCATGTCTTGCACACAGCGCAGCCTGGAGCGCAACATTATTGCCACCCAACCCAACTATTGCCAAACAACAAAGGAGCAATAGGTAAAGTTGGCAAAATAAAGAATGATTTATAAACAAGAGTAAGTATACACATAGATTAACATATACTACTCTAGCAGATTGTGTATGTACATTAAATACTGGTCAATTAACCACTATACTACTGTAAATCCTATGTATGTACTGTATGTAGTAAAAAATATATACATAATAAAGAATTAATAATTAAGGCAAAAATGTTATTTAAAAAAATATACTGAAAATATCAAAGACAAAACAAAAATGAAAAAAACGTATTCAAGAAAATAAGAACAAATGTGTGAATCATTAAAACCTGGAAATGTATATGCATTTATATGTGTAAAGTAGCTTCTAGCTGCAGAAGCCTTTTATCCAGATAACCACCTCCAGAAGTCTTTTATCCAGGTCACCACCTCTATTGTTTGTATGTAGACAATCTAAGATTGTGAAAGAGAGATAATTATAATAGTACTGCCTTGATGTTGAAGGCAAAAGTGTCTTGACACTAGAGATCTCAAGTCCCATTATTTATTATCATAAGTATGGTCTCTGAATCATACACACAATTCATGTTTAGTCTTACCAATGTAAAAAAAAACATTGCATTTGCTTAAGATATGTATGCAACAGACTTTGCACTACCATTTGCAAAATACATGATCTAGAATGGTTTGAGACCAGTAACCATCATTTTTCTAACCAGTTTTGCAAATCTGTAATGACTGCAGCATTGGAAGATGTTTTTACCTAGGTCCTTGCAACATTTCTCTTCCCTAGTAGAAAAATAGCTGAAAACCAATTTGTCTTTTATCAGTGGCGCCTTCCCTAAAGATAATAGAGGGCCTCTGAGATATAAAACGTGAGCATCTTACATGGTTTCTTAAAAGAGGAACTACGACCAGTCTTAGAAAAATTAAGACTCAGCAGCTGCAAAAAACTGTAGCTGCTGACTTTTTGCAAATAGACACTTACCAGCCCAGGGATCCAGCGCTGTATTCACTCTGGACAGTTCTTATCTTCTTATCTGCCAGTTTGGTTAAGGGGAAGCTGTCACCCCATTGAATATGTATGAGACCTACCCCTGCCCCACTTTCAGACTGGTCTTGCAACCTCTTAGCATATGCAATGTGCAGAATTGGTATAGATTACATGTCCAGATAAGGTACCGGCTCCTGGAAAACATTCCAATAATGGTGGAGGAAGGAGATGAAGAGGATGAGCAGAACTTTCACGTTTAAGTGAAGTTTCGCTTTAACAAATACCAACAATTTTCTAATTCTTTTTGTATTTTAGAGTGTTGTTGGGAATACAACACAATTCCTACAAAACTCTGATTTCCTTGATTAGACTTGTTCAGGTCTGTTTTATTTTATTACTTTATTTACTATGGGTACTTATACCACATGTTTTAATGGAAAACTACACAAGAAAGGGTAGGTCCACACCACCCACAGAGAATGTTCCGTCCTTCTCTGTGTGCAGTGACCACAGCTGCCAGCAAAGGGGGGTGGTTATTCATGTTTTTACAATGCAAGGCACTGTTTCATCTTTTATTTTCCAAATTTTAATGGAATGTCATATTTGTTACCAAAAGCAGTAGCACAGAGACCTGAGGAACAGTGCAGAAAAATGCAGACATGTTGTATTTTTTCACACCGCTCTGCTCCACAGCTAACAGATGCAAGAAAGTGTGAATGGGGGGTATAGAAAACAATGGTCTTATGCAGAAAAATGCAGCTCTCCACTGAGGGGTGATCCAACCCAAATACTGTACAAATAAAATTTTTACAGAAATATAATGCATATAAAATAGATAATACATAACAGCAAAATAAAAAGGATGAATGATGAAAGAGTACCAAACAAGATTCCTGATCTTTAGTCTTGGCAGAGTCATATCCAATGTAAATATTAGATTCATTGGCCCTCAAAATGACTGTCAGTGCATAATTTCAAAGGAAAATTAGAACTGTTTAGATTTGGTTGCACCAGCATTTTGTGGCCCCTGAGGAAGGTGGTTGCAGAAATGACAAAAACATCAAAGGGTCTTAGAGGGTCTGGAAGTGTTCATTGGTCATCAGGAGACCCTCCTTCAGATACAGTTGTCTTACAGTATCAATTGACTTTAGGATTACTGCTACAATCTAATAGTCCATATTTCATCATGCAGCATTATTTCATGATCTGAGCAAAACTAAACTTAACATATCTATTATGTGTGGCTTCCTCAAAAGATATAATGTGTCTTAATGACCCCCTGCACCTTGCAACATAAGAATATTTAGCTTTAAAATGATTTTAATCCTCTGCTACAATATGCAGAATTATTGTTATTAATGTAAATTAATCATAGCAAAAGTTATGAATTATTTATAGATGTTAGTTCTGTAGTGAGAGATATTCATTCAGGAATGTAGATTCTTAAATGCAGGCTAAACTAGTTTACAACTTGTCAATAATCCACAGTTAATAGGCTGTTGGCTTGGGAAATGTTGGACTAATGGATGTAATTACTTTATTTTGCAGGCTCTGCCTTAATGATATTAAAAGAAGTTTTGCAGGCCACCATGACTAATTACTTTCTCGTTCTGGTTTGGGCTGTGTATCTGAGCTGACTGCTCAATCTAAAAATCTGATGGCTTAATATAAATTTTGATTATGACACCCAGTTACCCAGACCTCATTACCTTCACGACTCAATGACAACTTGTTGGAGTTGCAATTTGTATGCAATACCCAGCCTGAAAGAATCTCCTTTCTAGATATCTAATATTGTAAAGACACAAGAATGGAGGGATTTTCACTACCCCATTCAAAAAGGATACTACAGTTAATACAGTCCTTGAGGTCTCAAGCTGTCACACTACGCTCTACGCATCAGAAGATTCCCTATTACCATAGAGCCAAAACCTCAGCAAAAATGTTTACAACTCATTTGATCAAGTCTAACCAAGGCAATAAGGATTTGGTAAG